TTGTCAGGACCACTGTTGCACATGTCATTAGCAGTAACGTTATTATTTTCGGCCAAACAGGTAAAGAAAACATTCGGCCCAACCTCTTCCTATGTGGTGCAGGGTCTACGTGCAAATACAGAGTACTTCTTCTCTCTGGCTGCCGTCTCCAACAAAGGCATTGGAGCCTTCACCAACGAAATATCCCAAAGGACATCCCAAGCCAGTATGTAGTCCATTTCCTTTCCTAAGGACCCGAATGTGAAGGGTTGGGGGGTCTAATATTGTATTTTGATTGGGAAATGCCAAGACACAATGGCAATTTTGAGCTTTCGATGGGGTCGGGATACAACACCACACTGTTTGAAAGGGCCACTGTAACCTTCACCCTCGTTTTCCAATCCAGGGATATTGTTTATCGACTCCAGAAATGTCAAGAGTAAATGATAATGGTGTGCTTGTGTGTGCAGCAGATATGTGTTAAAGACTGGACGCTTGTCTGGTCCCTGGTTTTTGACAGGTGTTCTGCTTCAGGTTTTCTGGCAGTGGTTATTTGCCTCATTCCTTTGTGTTGTGTTTGTTTATGCATCTGAATGGAACAAAACAGCATCACCTTTGAGCCAGAAGTGAGTTTTGCTACATGCAGGCTGCAAAGGTGATGTTGTTTTGATGAAAATATTTCCAAATGACTTGGCAAAGCTTTATGCTTTTGAATAATTCCTTTCTTTGCACGTTGACAAATTATTTTAAAAGAAAGATAAAAACGAGCAGAACAAATTTGTGTAAATTGTTTGTAAAAACATTCTTATGTAAATCGCTGCATAACACTTCAATGCGTCAGTTTATGTAAGAATGGTCGTACACACAATTTTTGCAATTACCGGTAGTTCTGCTTGTGTTTCATGAATGAGGCCCTCTTACTTTGATGTTTTATACATTATATAATTTTAAAAGTCTAAAGGTTAAAGCCCAAACTTTTAAATGACCTGTGTTGTTTAGTTTAATGGATTCCTTGCCCTTCAGCAGGATGGTGTCACACAAACACTTTTTATTCTTCTTTGTTTGGTTATGCTTTCATCCGGGTCTCTCTGTGTCACAGTTATGTACTTCAGAGATTTCCTACATGTGAAACAAACAAATCAATATGGGTTGATTGATCTGCAGCAAGCGTGCCATTTGGCTCCCATGCGCACTCCCTTATTTCTTCTGTGTTCGTATTTCTTTTTCATGTGTCAACAGCAAATGCACTTTTTTTCCTCCCATGCGATTGACCCGCACAAAATGTTATTGACTCTGCGGTCTGCCATGGCTTTCCACCACATCTAGTCCCTCACTGTGTATTACTGAAAGCAGCGCAGTCAGTGGCTGCTGGCGCCTGCAGGTAGTCAGCATTTACGCTGGGAGACCGGCTGAATTATTCAAGCCTCCGGCCTAAAAATACACCCTTGCTGAGTCGCATCATGATGTGGTGCATGAAATCATCAGAGCTTGTTGGAAACCTTGCAGCTGGCATGTGCCCTGTGCTAAAAAAAAATTGCAATTTCTTGTGTTCAGCTTGTACATTCAAAGGGGTCCAGAAGTCTTGAGACCATGAGTGAAAATGCATCTATTTTGCAAAAGTTTACTTTACAAAGCATATTAATTTGTAAGTGAAGTTGAACCACCCCAAAACATCCTAGGTTTTCATTTTCAGATTTCCTAGTTGTATTTCTCTGAGTGATTAAAATTATTAACTTTATTTTTTTTTTTTTATTGAGCACAGACCACTTTCAGAATAGATGAATAATGGGTGACAAATGCACTTGTGAATGTGGCATTTCCACAATTCTGCATGATTCTAGCTAACTTCCAAGCCAGATAAACAAAGAAAAAATTATGTGCACCTTCAAAATGATTCCTAGTAGTTTTTTTATGCTTTCATGTTTTAGTGTAAAGGTTAAAAAAAAGTTTAAAGTCAACATGAAATGGCATTCAAAACCCATTTTACTTTTGTAATCTGACGTATTTCTTAGTGAAATGGGATATTGGAGAACAACTTTTTTCAATCAGGAACTGATTGGAAAATTGGAATTGAAAAAACTTGCCTTGGAGGCAGAGCAACTTATTACATTTTGATGAAAAATTACCAAGATAAACTTTGCATTTCTTTGTAACTGTGCAAAAATGAATGTATTTTGTTTTCATGTTGACTCTAGATGCTCCTTTTGGTTAAAGGTTCCTTTTACAGATTTGATTCTTCAGATACACTTTCAGTGGGCGGAAGATGCCACAAAGCCATGGCAGCAGATGTTGACCATTTTAACTCTGTTTCTACCTGTGCAGCTTGTTGGTGCAGAATGGGTGGGATGGGGTTGGTTGAGTGGGTGCTGGGATGCAATAAACCTGCTGCATTGACGCACAATGTAAAACCTGAGAGTGAGCACTGAATGCATGTATTTCCTCCCATTACCCCCGGGGGGCGCTCTGTTAATGCATCCTTTGACCTCTGGCATGTGTACGCTGTGTGTGTCCCCTTCTGTTCCATCTCTTTATGTCTGTCCCACTGTTGGTGTCTTCATATATTGTATTCTGGAACAATGCGGTGCACTTTCTACCTTCCTTTTGTTTCCTAGCTCTTCTGTTTCACTTTGTCTCCTGAAATGAAACTAAAGCTCACCTGCTCCGGCTTGACGTCACCTGCTTTTAATTTATTTCTATTCAGTACACAGGTTTAAGTTCAACTTTATTTCATTTTGGTTTGGTTTTACTCTAACACTTGAGGAAACAGCTCTCAGTGTTTGTTTTTTTTTTGTGCTCTTATTATTGAGGTTAAGTTTAACGTGACAAGCTTGACATGCAGCAGTACTTAGCATTGCCAATGCAAATCCATTAAACTAAAGGTGAGAGTAAGTATCCCGGTGGGACAGCCGGAGGCTTCTTGCTCAAGTTATGGGATTTCGCTTTGTCCCGCAGGATCTCACAGAGATGGGAGACGTGGTTCACTACATCTGCCAACGTCTTCCCTCAAGCATAAACTAAAGTAGTGCAGATTTACCCATAACAAGGTCAGGGAGGCGACAAGTTTGGACAGTTAGAAGCAATTTAGCACAAACTCCCCTCAACATAACACATAAACAAACATTACAGTGTGGATTCCCGAGAGGTAAGTGACCGCCGTTCGGAGGAAAGCCCAGTCTGCCACCTCACTTTTCAGAAGTCGGCCACATAACCAACCTGACAAGTGCGTATTTGTAGGCGTACAGTGACCTTGAGGTGTAGAACTGTCACATACACCAGTAGAATTGGTTCAGATCCCTTCACAACTTTGCGCAAGCTGGAAAGAGTGCCATCGTCTTCACGGAGAGTTCCCAAGATGTTTAAACACTAATGGGCCAGATTATACAAGCGTTCAACACCAGGATTCCCTCTTCGTAGATCTATATTGAACTACACCAAGTGGCAGAATGGACTTCCTCATGAAGGCGTGAAATGAAATTGTATTGTGTTTGTATCCTTTTTGGTACGGTGCTGTTCAGTTGACGCCCAGTCAGGTCACTGTTTGTGGGTCAGCCCACAGTTACGAACCAAAGCCCTTGCAGTGGTCCGGCAGAGAGTACTCACCTCACCCTCCATATCCCCCAACTCTTGTTGTTAACATTGGGGGATGTGTCCAGACTCTTGAGGGTTAGTGGAGATAGACACTCCTGCCTTGACCAAGTAGGTGCCAGAGGGAAATGCTTAAGAGTCAATGGCTATTGAGTGATGCTCAGGTTTCAAACATGGTCATAGAGGGTCCACAAACTGGGGGCAAGGGTTACCACACCGGTCTTTGTCTTGGGTTTAGTGCAAGACCATCTTGGAGGTCCACAAGTGGATTCCAATTGGATTTCAAGTAGCCACAAGTAGAGTCCAATCAGTTCCATCAGTTGTTACACTCGGAAGTTGCCAGTGTCCAACTCACAAACTAATTTCAACCTTTTTAGCCAAACAAATCTGTAATTGCGGTTGTTTTTCACCTCTCATTTTGCTTATTTGAAGCAGCGCCACAATATGGACCTGGATTAAATCATTATGACAGTTAACATCTTTCGATATTGGTTTTGAGGCACACTTCTTAATTCTGAAGAGTGATTTCATTTGGAGGTCCACAAGTAGCCACGTACAGAAGGAGTCCAATTGATTGTTTCACTCATAGAAGTTGCCAGTTTCCAGAGAGATTTAATTTTGAACATTGAAATTCAAGGCTCTTATTGCATGAGTCTAAACCTTCAGGTAGTTCTGCAACTCTCAGATACCAAACTTTCTCGCCGCACTCAAACCAGGTCGATTCACGAGAACTGAATGCAAATATTCTTCAAAAGAGGAAGTACATCTTCAGAATATATCCTCAAATGGAAGATGAAAATCCAGTAAAACTTTGATCCAAAGAAGCCCATTTGGTGAATAAACAGGGCTCTGAATAATGTCGACCACTGAACTCTGGGACGGGTGACAGCTATGATGAAAGCTGGCTGGTGACGGGACAAATCTGTTAACCATTTCTCAAACAAAAGCACAGCTGGGCTGCTGATGGGTTGAATTGGGGTGTATTATATAACTTGGGTATGAATGGTTGGATGTTAGCGAGGTGCTAGCACCCTGATCTCAATCTTGTGGACCCTCAGGCTAGTGCAAACAGTGAATAGTGCAGACTGATGAAAGCACAGGGAAAGCTCTCTCCCTCCAACCAAAAAAAAAAATACATCCCAACCTCAATGTTATTGGACTAAACTAAATGAACGTAAATAGTTTGAACTGAGCTGTATTTGGTGAGCTCAGCAGTAGAAGGAGAGGGCCGAACCCAACCGACTCTGGGGAAATATAGTCTCCCTCGAATCGGGTGTTTGTGGTAAGAAAGTCTCTAAAAGTTAGTGTTTGAAGATGTCAGGTACGTATAATGTACAGGTTGTGTTTTTGGTTTTGTTTTGTTTTTTGCTGTTTTTAATGGTCTTACTTTCTGTTTAAAGCTTGGTGGCTTTCCATGATTCTTCTGAGTTGACATTTTGGTCCTAACATTTTCTTTCCAGCCATTGTTTTGCAGAGAGTTTTTCCTCATTTTCCTGTAATCCGTTTTGAATGAGTTTGTTTTGCTGATGCTCATCCATTTGAATTTCAGTCACAAATATGTTTCCCCCCTCATTCATTTGTGTTACTTATGGCTTCAGGGATCGGCACGACAGAGTAACTTTTAATTCTCGATTTTACAATGGAGATAAATGTTACGGCCCTTTAAACGGTATAATACTTTCCTATGCGCAAGCATTTAGTAAGAAGAGACTCTGTGCATTTTAAACGAGACTTTTATATTGATTTAGAATGGCACAGAAGTTGTAATTTCTGATATGTGCAAGGGGAAGAACCCAACAAAAACGTCTTGAAATACCGCAATGAATGGCCTTCATTCAAATGCAAATAATGTGATCTATTTTCCCCTCATGGTGGAAATATATCCTGAGAGCCCAGAGTATTTACTGTGAAAGATGGGTTAAATCTTTGGCTCGCGTACAGCCGGTTATAGTTGGATAAACTGCTGTATCTTACGCCCCCAACATCTGTGGTGTTACTTCTAGATCTGTGACACGGAAATCAAGCCAAAGTTAAACCTTCATGCTTCATATTTATGTATGCATGCCAAACACCCCGACCCCTTCAAAACCAAGCTCTTCTGTTTGCATTTGCCCTTTGCATTTGTTTTCCTTGTTTTTTTTATGTTTCAGTATGTCTCTGCTTGTTTTTTTCAGTTGGTTTTTCCCTTTTATCATTTTCTTTTTCTCTTTCCCATCTTTTCGTTTTTTGTTTTCCACCCTCTCTCCCCTCCTTTCCCAAACCTGAGCAGAGCCCTCCGCCCCCCCTCAAGACATTAAGTGCTCCAGCTCCAGCTCCACCATTATACGTGCATCATTTTTGTCCCCTGTGTTGAGCATCATCTCAGCATCCCGCCTGCCTCCTGGAGATGAGATGCCAGCTGCTGCTGCTCACTAATCTTCAACAGAAACTGAAACGAAGAATTCACTGTTTATGCACACGGTTTTTGCATTATAATAATATCCATTTCACAAGATCAGAATATATATTTACTGAAATGGTAATTTTATTCTTTTCTGCATACTGCATCCTGTACTGTGCTTTTTTGTCAAAAATAGTTTATCAGATTGTTTGCTGTGCTTTCACATTTCAAAATAATAATAATTTTTTCTGTGGTGCGCATCTGCGACAAAACAATGGGTTTCTCACCAACAAAAGCACACAGAAATGTGAAAATGGTCTTGTTTGAAAGAAAAGATCCTAATCTAAAAGATAATAGTTTGTGGCTGTTTGTGGCGGACGGAAGCAGTCATACAAGTAGGAATGTGACGCTTGTCTTTGTTTCCTCAGAGGTATCATATTTCACGGCGCAATTCTTTTGAAGATCATTCGATCTATGATTTTCACACAATGAAATACTTTTTGAAATTCCTGAGAATGAGAGCTTTCTTATGATATATGACTTGACTGTTTTGTGAAATATATAAAACATACATATTCAGAGAGATAATTCTTCGCCCTCAAAAAGCGGAAATTCGTGTCTGGTACAAATGCATATTTAAGCTTAATTTTACTACTTTATGTATCATAAAACCAATAGTATGGTATTCTTTGTAAAGATTAGAATCTAAGCTTTCAAATGATACCATATAAGCAAGCCTTTAAAAAGGAAGTGTTAAGTGTTCTGTAAGGCAGGACCTACTTTCCTACAGCCACCATATTTGGTCTTATGAATTCCCCCATTCGTTTTCCAGTGGCCTTTTATGGTCTCTGGCCGAGCTTTGTAATAAAATAAATCCAAGATGGTTGAGGAGGAGAGAGAAATGTTGATTATACGTCTGTGTAGACAGCTCACTCTTTTTGGGAGAAGATCTATTGACTAACATTACGTGATAGAGGAAACATTGACTTAGCATCATTTTCATCCTTCACTTCTCTTTCTAAAGCAGTCGGACAGCTTATGGGCACTGAAATAAATCCAGCTAGAGTAAGAAATTGTGTCGGACATTCCCCGATGACAGCAGTCTTTCTCAGTGACTGACAGCGCTAGTTCAAGATACAAGCTAGTAATCAATACGGAGCACTGGCGCTTTGGGCCGCCCTAGGATGGATGGTTTTGACGGGCTGGTCAACCGCTGTAGGTGGGTCAGGAGAGAGGGAACGCTACCCCAAGACCTCCGATGGGAAATCTCATTTGTCCAACCCACAACATGGAGTTATTTGAGTAGCAATACGTTACGACAGTCAGATCCTTGGAGACTTGTACCATTATAGCATCTAATACGGAATAGTCGGGCCCCAATATACAGTACATCCCCTTATGCTGTCTTTTATTGACCATCCAGGAAATGGGTCTCCTCCTTACAGCAGTACTGAATGACTGGAGGTATTAAACATCAGGGCCTCGTATAAAAGGATTTTCATTAGCTCGCAGGTAAAAGACTGCAGACAGCAGACCCGCGAATTGATCAGTGCTCAGATAAGAATGATAGTGAAATGGAAGGGGATGAAATGGTTGCTCAGGTATATGGGAGTGTGAAATTACAGTTGATTAAATGTCCCTGAAGATGGGCGCTTAATCAGTAGCCTGGTTTCACATAATTGAATGTGCGTACTAGCTGAGACACTAGGGCTTAGTTTCTTTTCAGCCATATCGTACGGTCTTGAGGTGCTCCATAACTATTGGTACATTGTACTATTTTTAGAACAGATTGAGAGTCTATCCGTGTCGAATCAGATGTAATTAAAGAAGATTTTGTTTATATGTCAGTTCTGTAAAATATTTCATGTAGATCCTAACTTAATAGCTAATAAATGCCGGGGAAGCCATGTTTAGGGAATGATATATCAGGAACTATGATTGCTGCTATGTAGAAAGATGTATTTTCTTCAAGTCCAAGTGGTTCAGAGTCTCATCGGGGTTGAAATATGTTCATAACTGACCTCTAAATTTGGTAAATAGTGAAATAAGTCTACACGATCAAGTGGTAGTCATAAAAGCAAGTCAGTGAAGAAAATTTCAGTTTTATTGCATTGCAAGATTTTTTTTTTTAATGAACTGAGGTTGTGTAAAGTATTTAATGTATATTTTAGCATTTTCATGGGTTTTTAAAGCCCAAAAATCGTCTGGAAAGTCATATTTAGGTTATGATATCTCAGGAACTATGATTGCTAGCTATGTATAAATTGGTAGATTGGTAGAAAAATGTGTTCCCTTCAAGTCCAAGTGGTTCAGAGTCTTATAGGGATAAAAATATTTTTAAAACTGGCCTCTAAATTTGGTCAAAAGTAAAAATTTCTAGATGAGTGAATGTTAATGCTCATTAAAGACTGAAGATACGAATTAATGTGTTTTGATTGTAAAACTTCAGCTTTAAATTACTTCTTATGTCTTTTTCATCATTAAAATGACAAGGCAGTTATCACTGCTACTATTGCTCAAACTAACAGTAATATGAACAGAAATTAGGTAAGTAACTCACGTAGCGCAAAGGAACACCATAGCATCATATTGGTGAATTTTGCACGGGCAAAAACCACCATAATTGTTTTAAAAATGTAGTTTTAATGATAATAAAATGGTAATTTCAATCCCTCATTGCGTCATCTTCTCTCATCGCAGTGCCCGGGGCCCCCCCTCGGCGTGTAGACGTCGAGGTGCTCAACTCTACCTCCATCAAGGTGATGTGGCGCTCCCTGTTGCCAGGGAAACAGCACGGGCAGATCCGCGGGTACCAGGTGCACTTCGTCCGTGTCGAGAATGGCGAATCTCGCGGCCTGCCCCTTATCAAGGACGTCATGCTAGCCGATGCACAGGTATGTTAGCGCGACGATGTCGCTGTGATGATTACTAATGTTTCTTGGAGCAAAAAGGTTGTAGTTTATTATTTTACTTGCCAAGTTTCTTTTCAACCTACGTCATCTAGGGTGCGCAGACGATTGGTTAACGTCTATTTTTAGGATACTGTTGCAGCAAATGCGGCCCAAAATCTTGCCAGTATTTAACACACACATGGCCACTGCAACAAATGTATGAAAATCCTTTTATAAAGAATTTAATCTGTGAAGTTCTTTTATAGCCTCTAGAATGCTTTTCACAAGCAGTCCAAAACATCTTATCAGCCATTAGAATTGCACGGTTTAGTCAAACCTCTAATAAGTTTAACCTCTAAGGCTCTAGTGTCATAGATAAAGTCAAAAAAGCTGATTATGTCTGCCGTATTGAGCGCCCCGAGATCTCCACAAAAACACGAGGCACTTGAGCACTGTGGTCACAATTCAGACTTGATTTAAAAGCACAAGCAGCAAAAAAAGAAAGAAAGAAGAAAAAGCCAGCGAGTGCCTCTGGCTGCAACCTAAAATTATAATACAAGCTTCTGTCATGAAAACAGCAGTGAAATTACAGATACGAGGCGCCTTATTCTCCTCCGTGACTAAAGCTTATGAATTTATGCCGCTTATGTTTATGACAGGATCATTTACAGTTGTCACTTGCGTGGGAACCAGTTTATATTATGTCGATGTTTATTGTCTACAAACATTATATATTGCGATCTTTTATTCATCTCATATTGAATTTGTTTTATATATGTAAATATTCAATATTTAAATATATAGAACTTTGATTTATAGAATAAATTATTAATTTAAATATTAAGCTTTTTGATAACTTTTATTAAATATCGACTCTCAGTGTGAGAATATAAATACAGTATTGTGAAGTTAATATCACAGTAGTTTTCTGTTTTAGTTTTGTTTTTCAATGAAATTTATTCAATAAGTAGTCATGGCATATTCATTTGTTTTAAATGTTCATGTATAATTTTAAATAAAAATACATTTTTGGGTTTAAAAATATCACTACAGTATCTTGAGGTGAATTATCCCGATGCTGTTATGCATCAAGTTAAATTTGCATTGCATAAGACAAATCTTTGACTATTTCTTCGCAGAATTGCCTTTATGATCTGATATCAAACTCCAAAACAGTCATTTTATACTCTTACTAAATGTAATGGTGAAAAAACTGCAGGAATGATATGCTCAGAAAGCAGCGGCCACTCAATTTCCTGCCTCGTCTTCAATCTTCACGATTTTTTTCACCCTAATCCACACTGACCTACTTTAAAACACTCTGCCGTTCTTCCATTTCCTTGGCACTTTTACCTTGTTTGGTCTTACGCTTTCCTCTCTTTCTTTCTGTCTGTCTTTCTCCTCTCTTTCAAACCGTCCTCCCTCTTTCTCCTCCCGGGTGGGGGATGTTAGTGGGAAATGGACGACACAGCTGAATACGTGAGTATGGCTGTCGGGAGAACCTGTGATGTTACATCAGACCTGCTTTGTATCTCGGCCATTGAGTGTATTTATAGGCAGAAACTCAGATGGTGTTTTTTACTGGGGAAATGTCATAAACATTGAAAGAATTTTATAATGAACCGAGGTGTGTATATTTCATGTAGATTCTAGCACATCATGTTGTTTAATAACTAAACACGTCTTGAGAAGCCATGTTTAGGGTATGATATATCAGGAACTATGATTTCTAGCTTTGTACAAATTGGTAGATTGGTAGAAAAATGTGTTCCCTTCAAGTCTTAGTGGTTCAGAGAGTCATCCTGGTAGAAATATTTTCTAAACTGGCCTCTAAACTTGGTAAATGTGTAAAAATTCTAGAAAATTGAATGGATTGATGCACAGATTTATGCATGGATGTTGAAGTTCAAGTCTCATGTAAACCTTTTTTTGCATTGCATTGCAAGATTTTTATAATGAACTGAGGTGTGTAAATATTTCATGTAGTGTGTGTGTGTGTGTGTGTGTGTGTGTGTGAGAGAGAGACGGTGATAGAAAAATATTAATGGTGCACAGGGGGAATGATGTAACATCAGGGTTCCTTTATGCCTAGCATGAAACAGTGTGTTTTGTGCTGTGATGTTGTGCATTAAGTATAGTACAAACAAAAATCAAGCAACCTTTTGAAGAAATGAGATATGCATTTTATTTATTTTTATAAGTAGATCATTTGTCTAACCCAAAATTTGCATGAATATCTTGAACTGGTTTGATGTGAAGCTCAATTCCCTGTAAGCTGCGGGACCCGCAGTTGCTTTTTTCTCTGTGAGCGCTCGGCATTAATTTCCTCTCCGTCATGCACGCTGATCAAAGCTCACTCGCTTTCACGTGAAATATTGGAAAACAGGAGGCCGTCAGAAGGCAGTGTGTGCGCACAGCTTACCGGCCGACCCGGAGAGAAATTCATTATTCTGACGGTCTGTTTGCTCAGACTCTCTATTGAATTAATTCACAGACATGTGTCGTAGATGAGCAGGAATTGTAATCTATAACCTGGTCATGCTGGATGACACGCCACATGCCAAAAATAATGATCCACACTGCTGTAGAAATGAGGTGCACTACTGAATATATATATATATATATATATATA